ATGTTCATTATTTGCTGTTTTCCCTGATCATTTTCTGATTGGTTAAATAATGTCTACCTGCCCGTATGCTCACTGTCATGTAAATCTGTTGTGTGCTTTTAAATGTAAGTAGCAGATAAGGCTGTTAACACAAGCAGATAATCCCCCCCCCAAAGAGCCACGTGCTTTGCTGTCAGACACTTTGACAAATATAACAGGAGCACCAGTGTAAATCCCTTGCACCTCACCCTGCCAGAGGAGATTAAAGGCTCCAGTGGGATCACCCTCAGCTTTTTCTTGATAGCGCATCACTATAATCATGAACGTTCAGGTGTCACATTCAGCAAAGTGACTGAAAGTCAGGACAGATCACCTGAGCCAAGTTAAGGCTTAATTCCATAAGCATGGCAGCTCATTCGTTCAGGGAAATAGGTCCTTCATTATCACACCCTGCAAAAGTGGGTGGGGGCTGAGTGACAGTGGCCCTAAAAAATTTGGAACATAATTAGATTGGTCTGGGTTGGGGTCGCAAAATGATATGCTTTCATGTGGCCCAAAATCCCCTAGTGCTGCCCCTGATTGTGTATCTGCTGACGCTCTCTCTGGCTGTGGGTGTGTCTCACGAGGGGGGCATCCTTTCCCAACATGCCTTGGGAGTATTGTATCAGACACTCACTCCTGCTGTGTCGATCTTACACACATATTATACACTAAGGGTAAAATGGCACATGGTCTGCAGAAAAAAAAATCCCGTTTTTACTGCTGGTGACCGATGACCTGCAAGTGTCTGACAGGTCTGTAGGGGAAGCTGTAGAGAATCCTGCCAGCCCTCATTACTCATAATATCTGTTCTCTGTGCCCTTGTTTCTTGTCACATCGAGATCCATGTCTATTCAAATCCTGGGTTCCATCGATTCCAAGCAAATGCCACTGAGGTCAGATGGCGCAGTAGCGCATTCCAGGGGGGTTGATCCCGCAGCATGGCAGTTAATCTGAGCCTTTGGGGGATACTCCATGTGACAGAGCTCTTTGCAGGCACATGTCACCCTCCAGCTGCTTTAATGGCATAACAAGTGGATCCAGCCGATTATGTAGTTATGACCATAACGTTCCTCACTGGTCTGTGAATGTGTCCAGGACAGAGGGGGCTTTAAATATGCTTTGTTCCCAATGACTCACAGGAATTTTCAGGATGGCCAGGGAGGGGGGACTTGGGAGGAGGGGAATGTACTGATAAGGGCTTGGGTGCTAAACAGCAGAGACAGAAGTGCATGCCACTTGATCCACAGAGTGCAGAACCAAGCCAAACAATGGGGCACTCGCATACAGCTTAACAGCCAATGAAGTGATGGCGTAGAGCTAGACAGCCAATGGCCTGGAGACTCAGTGTGGCTGCAGCAAGTGGCATGTGTAACATGAGGACAGTTGGTGCGTTCGTTTTTCTCTCGGAACTCGGAAATTCTGAGTTGAGTGACATCACGTCCGACAATCTCCCATTCGAGCTACCCACATCTCGGAACAAACATGGTTGCTTCCATGAACACGTTGCTGTGTGTTGTTGCTTTATATTTTAGCAGATTTGGAGTTTTCCAAATGGAGAAAATGGAGAAATGGAGATTTTTCCGAGAGACAAACAAGAAACACGAACTAGTCAAACCACATTAGAAGCTTTATAAAATATTTTAGTACATTCATAGTGATATTCTTTTTTCGAACGGCAAACGAACTACAAACAAACCAAGTCGTCATGTTGAAATTACGTCACAGGGGCAACTCGGACAACAAAATCTTGTCCGACTTCAACGTCATAAAAGAGGCGTGTTTCCGACGGGAAGTGACGTTTTTCGTGACGTTTCGTGACGTTTTCATCTGAGTTCCGACTTGGAGAGAAATAATCGAACGCACCAAGTGATCCAAGGTGGCTGAGAGAGTCAGTCGCACCCCCCTGGGGAGCAACCAGGCCAATGAACAACCCTGTGCTTCTACATGAACCTGAAGTAAGTACTTCAAGAGCAGGGCACTAGATGGTCTCAGAGGAGAAACCCCAAGGTCAGCTCTGCACCACAGAGCAGCTGTAATGTGCACAGGGTTAGGCCTCTGTGCCTGTTGGTGGAAGGCCAAGTGATATGTGTATATATCTTAAAACTATGACACAGGGACAAACCATTCTTCAGAATGGTTAGAACTTCAAAGTCTCTTCACACTTTGAATAAGGTCGCACTTATCTTGGGGTTGCCAACTTTGGTCAGCTGGCTGGCGTGAGATTTTTAATTTGGAACAAGTCTGCACACACATTTACATGTATATAACATTACATTGTAAATAATCTACCGGGTTTGCAAACTACCCCAACGCTTTTGATGTAGCTAATTTTATGTTTATAATGATATAGTTTGCTGTATGATATAAATATAATATAGATTTGCTATATGATTTCTTCCGTGAGTGTGATAGTCTGAAAGCGTGAGTGTCACACCAGATGCATGAAGGGTTGCCATGAAATGGGTGAATGAGTACTTATTCATGACATGCAAGTACTTGGTACTCTATCCATATAGCTAATTTCTGCTGAGGTCACTACTATGTTCCATTTTCACCAGGGAGATTCCTGCAGCCTTACAGTTGTACCAAAAACAAGTAGCTGACCACACATTAAAGTTAAGGCATCATAACTCAGAGGCATTTGACACATTGCAGAGGATTTCTGAAAATGCCTGTGATTATTTAAGTAAAAATTGTCTGTTAACGGGCTCAGACATTTTTATTATGGCATTTAAATCATGATCTTACAAACACATCATTGCTATAAGTCTTAAAGAGAGCTTAAACTAAGGCTATTATCTGGATGAGCTTTCCAATCCACCACGTGGTCTGTGGCTTTGTGTTCACCTGTGTTGTGGTAGAACTCATTATCTGAGATGAAAGGCATGTCCCCTGTGTGCTCAAACATCATCTTGGTGGCCACAAGAGGAATGAAGTCGTACACTGCTGCTGAACCAAACCTCTTTTATTCTTTAAGTGTCATGTGAGTTTTGATGATGTCGTTCCTCTGATCGGCAAACTCTCTATAGGTTGGGGGTTAAGTCACCATGTTCAAGAGGACTGTCCTTCTCCATCGGTTAATCCTTGAGGTGTCTGGCCCTCCGTAGCACTTTCAGAAGATGAGAATCACCTTCATAAATAACACATTAGCATTTACACATGCTCTCGGGTAAGCGGCAGCTAAGCAGACCTCTGTATGATGTCCTCACATACAGTTCAGCATTTTCCAGCAAAGCCCATCCTTAGAGGCGTGTTCAGGTCAATTAAAAGGCTTTTAAGCTGAATCTATCTGCTCAGAATGGTGAGGCTTAAAAGCCTGATTCTGACAAAGAGCACAACTGCCAAAAAACCTTGGCTAAAAGGGAAGGAGCATTTGGATGCAGTGAGGTTGAGTACCAAAGACCCAGACTGATCTGTGACACAAACACTTATACAAATGGAAAGCAAAATGTTTTCAGATTTGTCATCACTGGACTACTGACTTAACTGCTTGATGCTGTTCTCTCATATCTTGTGTACCTAACATCCAAAATTTCAGTGTTAGCTACCAAACGTCAAGCAGACGTTCAGATGTTCAGACTGAACCCATCTGGGACCCCACCCCCGCACGCTGTAACCATTTAGGAGGGAAAAACTCGCCAACATCTCACTGAAGTCATGGCTGAGCTGTGGCAGAGGGGTGCAGTGGATAAGGTTGCTGGTTATTTAATCTGGAAGGTGGGAGTCCAAAGTGGGATCCATCTTTTCTGGTTTTTGATGCTTCTTTGTTTTGTTCCACCTCACCTAAGAGATTTCCCCACTGAACTGCCCATTACCGACGGGAGTTTCTGATCTGCACCAACGTGGTGTGACAGGTGACAATATAAGGAGCAGCTGGGCTGAAAAACACAGTGGTGGCAGGAGACCGGCAAAGGTGAAGGTAACGAAATACCAGCCAAAGGCGTGTTTTACTGTGGCATTCCAGAGTGTTCCGGGCTCACAGACCCATTTTCATGCTGGTTCCCAGTAAGAGACCCCTTTGTTGGGCTGCAGAACCCGCCTCTCCCGACACAAGGAACCAGTAAACAAAAGACAGAGTGTCCACTGTAAGCCTTACAGTTACATAACAGCACTGTGGCACAGCAGGGAGTTTGCTGGGAATCACCTCCCTGCAAAATGACTGGCAGCAGACAGGCTACGGCTCTGGGAGGCCCAGTGTCCTGTAAAACTGGACCTCTTGGAAACAATCAACAGCATTGTTTGCTAGGAGTGTTACCCCACCGCCCAGTAGGGGCTGTAGGAAGGTTGTCCACTTGGGGCGAGGAGACATGCACTCAAGCTCAGGACCAGCCCTCAGGACCCATGATTTATGCAAGGGGGCCCCTGATGGCTCCCCGTTCACAGCTGGGGCCCCTGACAGGCACTTGAGTAATGGGTGGGAACACAGTGAGGTCACTGCCAGATCAGACAAACCCCAAGACAGTTTCAAAGGGAGAGTAAGTGAAGTAGAGCATAAGAAACTGTTCTTGAGTAGCAGCATGACAATGCTCCAGACTCCAGGAGGCCAGATGGAGAACAGGCTCCTCCAGGAGTGAGCCTGGTGCAGACTGTCTATAGTTAGAAGCTACTGAGTACATGGCATTTGGCTCCTCCAGCTTCAGTGCAGCATGTACATGGCACAGGAGGGCCTCCTCAGCCCGGCTGAGGCTGTCCTCACGGCAGGTCGATGTAGGGGATGTCGCTATAGCAACGATCCAGCTCAAACCAGTGCTGCACTGCCCGGGCAATGATCTCCTCCGACAGCCTGTGGGCATAGTCCAGCAAGATGGGACTGACCTGCGGAGGCTCCCCTCCTGGCTGGGCCTCCGAGCAGGGCAGGACTGCCCCCTTCACCGCCACAGTGACTGAGATGCTGTCCACTTTCTGCACCGCTGGGCTTAGATGCCGAGCCGGTTTGCTCTGCTTCGATTTGACACACCCCATAGTGTAAAAAGTGTGGCATCAATTTGAAGGCAGGGGGAAGTCTTCAGTGGGCTCACTGTTACGAAAAGAGACAGAAAGAGAGTGAAGATGGGGGAAGTACTTAAATGGTTTTTATTTCCATTTGCAACTTAAAAATCCTGGACGTAAGCAGGTAAAAACAAGCACTCTGCTCTGGATTATGCCAAAAGTCAGGTCATGCTCAGGTGCTCATTAATCCTCAAGCTATCAGAAAAAGAAGAAGTCTTCCAAAAGTAAAAATAGTATCTTCCTCAAATAACGAAAACATATCACTTATTTCATATTTGGATAGTATTTCATGAGTTTAGTTTAGAGTTTAGTGTGTGCTATCACTCTGTGTATAACTCCAAAGATTATACTTTGCCTGAGTCACAAAATGAAATGTTGGGCAGATATAGTTTGGAGGATTTCATTTCATATGGATTTTTTTTTTAAAAAGTACCTGAAAAGATAACATTTCAAATGCATTTGCACAGTTGGCACAGTTGGTGCTTAAATGGAAGGAGGTAGTGCAACGAAAGTTTGGCCCAGCTGTTACAAGCACGGACAAAAAAAGCTTAGGAGGCTTGGACAAGGCGTTCAGCAGAGGAATGTGAAAAAAGGTGGTATAATGTTCTATCAACCGCGCGAAAGCAAATCACAGTTTATAAAGCAAGCATGCAAGCTACAGGTTTGTGTTATTACTTATATTGCTCTTATGACCCTCACTATAATAGATGATGATGATGATGATGATAATAATAATAATAATTATTATTATTTTTATATTTTTCCAGTTGCCAAAAACGTAGCATCATTATCACCTTCAGTTCAACTGTAAGTGCATTTTTAGGTGACGTAGGAGATTGTATCCGGTTCCTAATTAGGTCGGTAACAAAAATAATGCCTTCACGATCAAGCCTGTATCTTTTTATCAACTCGTTATCATCGTAAATTCGCAGTACGTCCTTTCTTTCACGGAAAGTGCGCGGTCTCCGTCTGGGTGCGCGTAGTGCAGCTGCCATCATTCAACTCCTAACTGGCTTAGGAGTCCTCTCCAGCTCTCTTAAATAACTTAGGAGCTGAGACCAAGTCTATACACTTAAGAATGTTTATACATGGCACTTATTCTTAAGTCTGGGAGTAGGAGCAAAATCACGTCACTCTTAGAATTGTGACGCATTTAAGAGTGAAATTTTACTCTGAGAAGTTTTACGCATACTGGCCCAGGTCCCAGAGGTATGAGGCAACAGTGCTAAACACTGCACCACCATGCATTAAAAATGAATTAAAACAAAACATTTAAAAGACCACACAACGTGCACCTGATGTTTTGAATGTAACAAATAGAAGCTTTCAAAGAATTGACTAAAATTTGTAATTTTGCCTTAAGCCTTAATTTCATACACTTTAAATGTATTAGGCCTACTGAGATTAAAATAATTGGTGGGCAGTGGTGGCTTAATGGTTAGGGAAATGCACTTGTAATTGAATGAATGAGGGTTTGAATCCTTGACCAGTAAGGCACTGCTAAGGTACCTTGAGCAACGTATAACCCCCAAACACTGCTCCCTGGGTGCTGAATTAGCTGCCCCTGCTATGTCATGACATCACATATGGGTTAAATGCACAGAACACATTTTGTTGTTGTTAAAGGGGATGTGCTGGAAGTGGCAATGGCTGATCCTTGCTCTTAGGTATGACAACTCTACCTTCTTGGTGTGTAATATTTATGGGCACAACTCATGATCTTTGAACAATCTGTTGTTTTCTTTAATTACCTCTAAATTAACTGAATTTACTCAAAAATATTCCAACTCTATTGTGATTATGGGGGGTGATTTTAATAACTGTTTAGATGATTTAAAAGACAGATACCCTGCCAGACAATGGCAAAGCTCACACAAGAATAACCCCGTTTTTTAAAATTGTGTTGCGACTATTCATTAACGGATTCGTGGCATTTTTTAAATGCTGATCGTCAGGATTACACATGGTCTAATAAAGACCAATCTAATAGATCTAGAATTGATCTTTTCCTAATTTCCACACACTCCCTTCATCTTATCAGCAAGGTAGTTCACTCCTTCTGATCATAAACAGATTGTGCTAAAGCTTGGTGGGTTAGAACGGACGTCTGCAGGACGATAATTTTAATGATGGCATTAAAGGGTTAATTGATTAAATTTTCTTAAATATTGAGCAATAGTGATTATAAAGCAAAATGGAAATACTTCAAATATATGGTAAGAGGGATGGCAATGAAAAGAAGTAAAGAACTGATGAATCTTAAATGGGCCAAAGAGTCTGCAGTATTTCATAGAATAAACATCCTACTATCTAAGCTAAGGGGGAGATAAGGGGGAGATGAAAGAGGTACATCTAGACATTGATCATATCTACACTGAGCTAGCCAAAGGTGTGTTCATAAGGTCAAGGGCTAAATGGTTAGAAGAGGGGGAGAAGAACTTGAACTTTTTGCACTTGAAAAACGGAATGGCAGGAGGAAAGCTCTTGAGGTTCTTAATATTGATGGCATCCTCTGCACGGATAGGAACAAGATCTCAAAGTATGTATCTTCCTTTTATAGTAATCTGTATACCTCTAACTTTAACAATGAGTCATGCAACACCTTTATCTCCGAGATTACTGGGAAGATTCCCAATATCACACAGAATTTTAAAGCACATTGTGATGCAGACATTACCATTGTGGGTAGTGGTGGCTTGATGGTTAGGGTAGCGCACTTGTAATTGTAAGAAAAAAAAAGATTTCAGGTTTGAATCCCCCACCAGCAAGTCACCACTGAGGTACCCTGAGCAAGGTACCGTCCCCAAGCACTGCTCCCCGGGCGCTGAATTAGCTGCCCCTTGCTATGTCACGAAAGTCACATATGGGTCAAATGCAGAGGTCACATTTCATTGTTGCACACTGTGTGCTGTGGTGTGTTGACACTGATCACTAAATTCTAATTGATGAAATTAAACTTTGTTTTCAATTAAAAAAAGAAAAGCACCAGGTATTGATGGGCTAACCGTAGAATTTAATGTTCATTTCTGGGATGTCATATGTAAGCATTTGTTTGGTATGTATTTAGAATGCATTAAGCAAAAAGAAATGAGTACAATAATGAAGCAAGGGATTATTTCTTTGTTACCAAAACCTGACAAAGATGTTTTGTTAATTGATAATTGGAGGCCCATTACGCTCTTGAATGTTGATTATAAGATTTTGACAATGGCTTTTGCTAATAGATTAAAAAGAGGACTTGATACCATTGTGGCAGAAACTCAGTCAGGCTTTATTAGAGGTCGGCATATATGTAACAATGTTAGACTAATATTGGACTTACTGGACTATTCAGGCTTAATAAGCACCAGAGCATTTATCTTATTTGTAGATTTCTATAAAGCCTATGATACAATTGAACACCCCTTTTTATTTCAAAGTTTGAAACTGTTCGGTTTTGGGAAGAATTTTTTGGAGATAATTGAGATGTTTTATAAGGAAAATCAATAGTTCTGTTATAATTAATTTTGATACCTCTACTAGATTCGACATTAAACGATGGGGTAAGACAGGGGTGCCCTATTTCTCCCTTTTTATTTGTCTTGGTGGTGGAGTTGTTGTCCATAAATGTTGTGCAAGTTAGGGAGCTCAATGGAATCTCTCTTTTTAATAAGGAATTAAAAATAGCACAGTTAGCAGATGATACCGCGCTTTTTCTTCAAGATCAACAGCAGTTGCCCAAAGCCATCAAACTTGTCAAATGATTTATTTTAGCATCTGGCCTAAAACTAAACATTTCCAAATGTGAATTGTTCTCATTGAAGGACTGTGGGTGCTCATTCATAGAAGGTATTCCAGTTAAGAACAAGGTGAAATATTTAGGTATTTATATAACAAAAGACTTGGCTAACAGACAAAATTTGAATTTTCAGGGGCCAATACAATCCACGACGTGTAAATTTAATTTATGATTACAAAGAGATTTGTCTTTATATGGAAGGGTTCTTTTATCCAAAGCGGAGGGATTGTCACGTTTTGTATATCCATCTTACAGCCAATACTATTAATAAATTGTTCCTTAATCTTATTTGGAAAAACAAATTCCATAAACTTAAACATACGATACTGTCCAATGGTAGGGCGGAAGGAGGACTGGAGGTGCTTAATTTTGTGGATATAGTTCACACGTTTAGAGTCAATCGGACAAGGAAATGTTTGATTAATCCAAATTCAATATGGTCCTTTATCCCAGCTCATATTTTTGGAAAACTTGGTGGGCTATCTTTCCTTTTACAGTGTGATTACTCCCCTCCCAAACTCCCCATTTTTTTATCCAAATTCCATCAGCCTTTTTATGGAATAATATGTACATCACAATAAAGAACAGGTTTTTGTTTTATCCACAATGGTTCCAAAGAAATTTTGTTAATGTTTTGTCTCTATTTGATGATCAAGGGTCTTTAATTACATGTAACACCTTTATGACAGAGCACAGTTTTCCCATACCATATAAGGAGTACAGTGCAGTTGTCAAGGCTATTCCTCAAGGCCTGATTCAACTTATGAAAAATCATACAAGTGTTAATGTAGGACAAACATCTGCTGCCTATTCAAACCTTTATATAAATGGAATAGAGATATATGATAAAAAATGTACGAATAAGCATATCTGCCAAACTTTACAGTATTGAAACAAAACAATCCCTAGAGGGAAATTTTTCTGGAATTCTCATTTGGAGGACATTAATTGGAGGAAGGCCTGGCTTCTGCCTCATAAATTTTGTATCTTCAATAAAGTAAAAGAAATTCATTTTAAGATTTTACATAAGATATCTCCAGTTAACTTGTATATTGCCAAATTTGTAGACATAGACAGTGCCTGTACCTTCTGTGGCCTGGTGGACGAAACGCTTATCCACCTTTTCTTTCAGTGTTATGTGATTAGAACATTTTGGTCTGAGTTGTATTCTTATATATTTCAAGCTCCTCAATCTATTGATATCTTTACCATTAAAGATATAATTTGTTATTACTACTGTATAATGACAACGATAGGGCATTATGTGATGTAGTTAATTTTTTTATTTTAATGGGAAAAATTTTCATTCACAAACAGAAATTTACAGGTTCTTTGCCCTTATTTTCCATCTTCTTTATTGAGCTAAAAATGTTATTAAGTCACTTTCCTTGATAAAAAACAAGAAAACCTAAAAGATTTTTTAAATATTACAAGGACCGATTTGAGTAGGAGTCTTAAGAAATAATAATTTATTTATTGTGTTCTTATTTATTCATTTATTTATTCTTATTTATTTATGTTCCTGGCTGTATATGTGGTGTAATATTTTATCATGAATTGCTATGTATTGTTATGTATGTAGACTATATATGTAGAAAATATTTTATCTGGTATTGTTCATTGTTATATTATATTTTCTGACATTGTATGTAAATTATTCTCAATAATAATAATAATAATAATAATAATAATAAAACATGTCGTTGTTGTGTGCTGTGGTGTGTCAACAATGATCACTTAATTCTAATAACGTCAGTAGGGCTTTATATACTTTTTAAAATGTTTAGCACAACATTTTAGAAGAGTTTTTTTTCACCAGGCGTCGGAAACGGGCTATATGTGAGCTTAAAACCTACCCTGGGGGAAGTAAAAGAGTATCCCTCATTGCCCCGCCCGCAAAATATACGGATTCAAATACTGCATAAATGATTGTTAAAAAGCAGGGAAAACAACAAACTGTAACAATCTTTATGCACACATGAATTACTTCCCTTTACCTGGTGATTTGTGTGCTTTGGGGGGTGACTTGACTTTGCCGGTGTTGGCAATTCAGGACCTTTTTTCCAGTAAGAAGCACCGAAGTCACTATAAGAAACTCTGGTAGCAACGGGAAACGTTATTTTACTGAGCGTTACACAGGCTCCTAGTATCCAAATAACACACACCGCTCGTGTCCGTGGAGCTGCCCAGGTACCTACCTCTCAAGCTGAGCGCACAACTTCACAGTTTGTTTATTTAGATATAAACAGCTTCGTTCCCAACGGCATCCAAAAAAAGGGCATATTATTTTTCACATCGTTCTAATATAAATGTAAAATGCGCACAGATCCATCTGGATTAAGGTTATGTGGGTGCTCCCTTCTTCGTTTTCTCAATCCGAACTCTCAGACGCGTTTCTCTTAAAAACAAGAATTCATCTTGTAACTCAACGCTGCAGTAAAGGCTTGATACCCGTAAAAAAAGTATCATCCCAGAGAATCCACGTAGTAAAGCTCCAGTATTTGGAGCTAATAAAGTCGGTCGGGATTCAAGAGGGGGTGTAGCTACTTTTGAGGTTTAAATACGATATTAAACGTATAACAGCTGACAGCCAGCTGTAAATACGCGCATCCTTAAAAAGACTTGGCAGGCTATGACGCAAGAAAATCGAATCTATAAGTGCTATTCAATGCTTCTCTAGATGGCGAAATTTATATTGGTAAAATAATAAATGCAGTATAATTCTGCCCTCTTGTGGAGAAATATAGTCGATGAGCGCAGCTGCCAATTAACTGGAAAAAGTACAAATGTGACCTGGCTTTGCAAGGAACATGTGTAGATAATCAGTTTATTACATCAACATACTTTATTTATTCACCTAAAAATAGTTCATGATTGACATCTGTGTTCTTTAAGCAAATATTCAGTTAAATGAACCGTTAATTAATTCCGGCGCATCACAATAGAGCAGAGATCTCCACGTCTCTGTGCATGAGTATACTCTGCCTTCAGTGGATGAATGGTGCATGTGTAAGTGGAATTCAAAATGGTGCATGTGTAACCAGCAGGCCTGTAGCCAAAAACAAATGTCATGGGGTGATTGGCAACCCAACTGATAGGTCCCCTTTGGTATATTTTGTTGGGGGAGGGGGTGCATGAATTTACTACCTGGCTACATGCCTAACTCCATGGTTAAGTTCACAGTCAACACTGTGGTGATGGGTCTAATCTCTAACAACAATGAGAAGGTCTATCTCAATGAGGTCAATCATCTGGCATCCTGGTGCAAGGGTAAAAACCTCTCACTTGATGTCAATAAAACCAAGGAGTTAATTGCAGTCCTCAGCAAAACACGACAGAGGAACTACACTGCTCTCAGCATCAGTGGGGCACCTGTTTCGGGTATCTTGGAGAGCACACCTCTGAGGACCAGTCATGTACCCAGCATGACCAAGCTCTGGTCTCAAAATCATGGCAGAGACTGTACCACCTGTGGCAGCAGAGGAAATTCTGTGTCCATAGAGTCCTAAAAACACACAGATTCTACACAGGTGCCACTGAAAGCATCCAGTCCATGAATATTGTATCCTGGTACTGTAACTGCAGAGAGTGATCTGCCTAACAGCCAGATCTGCTCTCACCCACATGCAAACCACCTACATCAGTCGCTGCTGGACCAGAGCCATCAGAATTATTAAATCCTCCACCTCCTATCCCCCCTTAGTCTCCTTTGCTCAAGGCTGAACAGATTCA